TCAGCAGGGAGTCTGCTTCTCCCTCTCCCACTCCCCCTGCTTGTGTTCCCTCTCTTGCTGTGTCTCTCTCTGTCAAATGAATAAAATCTTTAAAATATATATATAACTGGTCTCATACCTGCTTATGTCATTATGACACTTGACATTTTTCTGTTTATAGTTTTTGTTACTCTTGCAGCAAGAAATGGGTAAAGAGTAGAAAATATTAAAATTGACAAAGACTTATTAGAAAATAGACCAAATATTTCTAACTTTTAAAGTGATTCTTAAATCAGTGAGTTACTGTATTAAAATTTGTATTTTTAGATCAGTCTGAAAATTTTCCTAATCAAAAATAGAAGTTTTGGGGCACCTGGGTGGCTCAGTTGGTTAAGTATCCAACTCTTGATTTCGGCTCAGGTCATGATCACAGGGTTGTGGGAGCGAGCTCTGCATTGGGCTCCACAATGGGTGTGGAGCCTGCTTAAGATTCTCTCTCCCCCTCTGACTCTGCCCCTCCGCCCCCCCCCAAAATAGTTCTATTTTGTAGAATTGGCATGGTTTAAGTTTCTGAGGTTTTGTTTATGTTTTGTTTTACTCTTTTTTTAAAAAAAGATTTTATTTATTTATTTGACATAGAGAGAGAGACCGTGAGAGCAGGAACACAAGCAGGGGGAGTGGGAGAGGGAGAAGCAGGCCTCCCGCTGAGCTCCCAACTGAGCCACCCAGGCGCCTTTGTTTTAGTCTTTTAATTATATATAGACTTGATCATTTAAGTCCAGAAACAAAATGTAGGATAGTCTCATAGTAATTTTTGATTCTGGTGTTTTTAAGTTCTACATTTTTTTCACCCCACATTTTTAGAATTGCCAATGCCACGCCCATCCCAGGAGACTTGCTTCGAGAAAATACAGATGAGGTGTTTCCAGATGAGCAGCTTAGTGATGGGGAGAATGGCATCCCTGTTGGTGTGTCACCAGATAAATTGCCAGGATCTTTGGGACACCCACGTCCCCAGGAGAAGGATGTCTGGGAAGAGATGGACGCCAACAGGAACAAGATAAGGCTTGGGATTTGTAAGGTGCGTATTTCTTGCATAGGAGGGGTTATCTTTCCTAAGTGCTTAATATTTTTCTTCTGTTGCTGTAGCAAAGTATCATGATTCTTAATTTTGAATGAGAAATAGTTAGAACATTGTATTGCTAGTGATTTATATATTTGTAGTTACAACATCTTGGCTAATTTTGCCCATACCACTCAGATATAGACACTGAACATTAATTTTCAACTTGTATTTTGGAAAAGATGAAAGCGTTTAAAAAAAAATAACACTGAGACTAAAAGAAGAGACATCTATAGGTCAGAAGTTAATAGTCTTTCTAAATAATATGACAAGACTCTGTGGGCCTATGGAACTAGGAGTACCCATTCTGAAAATTGTCTCAAGTGGAGGTGGGGAAGTGAGAGCTAGAAGTAGAAAGCATCGAACTGATCACAAGCTGACAAAGTGGATGTTGAATAATTGACATGATTTTTTCTTCTTTAGGATTGTAAGCAGTACCACTTGTAAGGGGAGAGATACAGATTTCTGAATTAAATGGTTAATTTTTAGTAATCTTGGGCAGATTATCTCCAAGTTTCTTTTTGATTTTACTGTCCTTGTCATTTCCATTTTCATAGAAGGTAAGATGAAGATAAATGGGAATGGAGGGGCAGTGAATTATGAACCAGTTAGCTTTTGGTGCTTCCTATGATTTTATAAAGGTTTAGTTGGGATGGAAGTTAAATTTATAGGTGTAAAATGAGACTTTGGGCTCATACCTTTTAACATGATAGATAGAAAGTTGGCTAGTCATGCTTTATGAAATGTATCTTAAAAAGAATTTTCCATGATCAATTCTGAGGAGCTTGGCCTGTCTTCAGACAGTATATATACTATATTGTTAAACTTAATAATTAGAAAAATTAACAGTATATACATTCAGTCATGGGAGTCACTTTGTAAAAACATTCTCTGCATAGATGTGACGTGCTGCACTGTGGTCTGGTTATTGAAAAAGCCCTCTCTGGAACCCTGTTACACTGTTGGTGGGAATGCAAGCTGGCGCAGCCGCTCTGGAAAACAGTATGGAGGTTCCTCAAAAAGTTAAAAATAGAACTGCCTTATGACCGAGCAATTGCACTACTGGGTATTTACCCAAAGGATACAAACATAGTGATCCGAAGGGGCACATGCACCCTGATGTTTATAGCAGCAATGTTCACAATAGCCAAAATATGGAAAGAGCCCAGATGTCCATCAGCAGATGAATGGATGAAGAAGATGTGTGTGTGTGTGTGTGTGTGTGTGTGTGTGTGTGTATGATGGAATATTATTCAGCCATGAAAAAGAATGAAATCTTGCCATTTGCAATGACGTGGATAGAACTAGAGGGTATTGTACTCGGCAAAATGAATCAGTCAGAGAAAGACAAATACCAGATGATTTCACTCTTATAGAATTTAAGAAAGACAAGATGGAATAGAGGAAGGGAAGGAAAAATAAAATAAGATAAAAACAGAGAGGGGGCAAACCATAGGAGCCTCTTAACTATAGGAAACAAACTGAGAGTCACTGGAGGGGAGGTGGGGGGGCTGGGGTAATTGGGTGATGGGCCTTAAGGAGGGCACTTGTGATGAGCACTGGGTGTTGTATGCAACTGATGAATCACTAAATTCTACTCCTGAAACTAATAATACACTATATGTTAACTAAATTGAATTAAAATAAAAAAAATTTTTAAAGAAAAATAAACTATTAAGAAAAAAGAAAAAGCCTTATCTAGACTAATAATAATTAGGAATAAGTAGTGAAAAGTAGGCAAGAAGTCAGTATCGGATTTTTATAATGTCAACTGTGGCTGTCTTTATTGCACCAGAAGCAAAAACTGTTCTTACAGTAAAAAATCTTGGGTGACATTCTCAGTTGCCAGCGCACATGGGTATCTGTGTGTATGAGAGTGTGAAATGGCCCTTGACATGGAGCTGACTTTAGTTTCTTTTACCCATCATCACTATTTAATCTGTATTTCGTTCTCTTCTATATGTTAATTTCTTCCTTTTCTTTTTCTTTTTTTAAAGATTATTTATTTATTTATTTGAGAGAGAGAGAGAGAGAGAGAGGCAGAAGGAGAAGCATAGGGAGAAGCAGACTCCCCACTGAGCAGGGAGCCCGATGTGGGACTCGATCCCAGGACCCTGAGATCATGACCTGAGCTGAAGGCAGTTGCTTAACTGACTGAGCCACCCAGGTGCCCCAATTCCTTCCTTTTCAAAAACATTACTCAAATTAGATTATTAGTGTTGTTGGGTTTTTGGGGGGTTTTTTTGAGAAGGAGAGGGGGTGGGAGAGGGGCTGAGTGGGAGGGAGAGAGAAAATCTTAAACAGGCTCCAAGCTCTGTGCAGAGCCTTATGCAGGGCTTGATCTCACGACCCTGAGATCAAGACCTGAGCCAAAACCAAGGGTCAGACACTTAACCAACTAAGCCACCCAGGTGCCCCGATACTGTTTTTTTTTTTTTTATATCAGTGATGTTTGTCTGGATTTTTCAAAGATGTTTACCATATCCTTGCATTTTTGGAAGTCCTGGGCTTGTCTTCTTCCTGAAGTATTTCTATTAGAAGTTCCTTTAGTTGAGGTCTTTTGGGAGGACTCTTTAAATTTTTACTTAATTGTAAATGTATTTATTTTAGCATCATTCTTTTTTTGGGGGGGGCAGCAAAGCAAGGTTTATTGAATGATAGCAAGGTGATAGTACAAAGCTTCTGAGGAGGGAGGGGACCTGAGAAGGTTGCCCAGCATCATTCTTTAAAGAGAGTTTATACTAAAGGCGCCTGGGTGGCTCATTCATTAAGCATCTGCCTTTGGTTCAGGTCATGATCCCAGGGTCTGGGGATCCAGCCCCACATCGGGCTCCCTGCTCAGCGGGAAGTTTGCTTCTCCCTCTCCCACTCCCCCTGCTTGTATTCCCTCTCTCGCTGTTGTCTCTCTTTGTCAAATAAATAAATAAATAATCTTTAAAAAAAAAATAAAGAGAATTCATACTAGAGTCAGAGTTTTTGACTGACAGTTACTTTTCCTCTGGGTTCAATTATTGGTGTTCAAAAGTCTGTTACTCTTAATTTTTTTTTCTTTCTAGATGATTCATTGCCCTCTGTCTTTGCTCCCCAGCTACTTTTTAATTTTTCTCTTTGTCTTTGGTGTTCTGCGTTGTAACTACCCTGTGCGTCGGCTTACATTTCTTTTTATTTATCCGGCTTAGAATATCTTGTTTCCTGAATTTTTGATTCATAGTTTCGTATCATTTCTGGGAGATGTACAGCTATTCCCTACCAAAATATTGCCACTAATTCATTCTTTTTGTTCTCTCATCCTGGGAATCTAAGTAAATGTATGCTTTTTCATTCTGTTATAAATTTTTTTTCATATTTTTCTTCTCCTTACTGTGCTTCATTGTAAGTAATTTCTTTTGCTATGTGTTCTAGTTCACTGATTAATAACTTTGGCTTTTTCTGGGTAATTTGATGTTTAACTTGTTAATTGAATATTTCATATTAAATTCATCAGTTAATTCCATATAATCCCTTGTTGATCTTTGTGATAATGACCTTTATTTATTTAAACATATTATGCATAACTGTTCTGTATTCTGTATCTTAAGTTTAATATCTGATGTTTTTGGGAGATTCTTGTTTTTAAAGATTTATTTATTTGCAAGAGAGCGAGAAAGAGAGAGTGAGAGAGGAGGGAAGAAAGAGGCAGAGGCAGAGAGAAACCTAAGCAGACTCCACACTGAGCACAGAGCCCATGCAGGTCTCAATCTCATGACCCTGAGATCACGACCTAAGCCGAAACCAAGAGTCAGACCCTTAACTGACTGTCTCACCCGGGTGCCCCTCATGTCTTAGGGAGTTTTAAATGTTTTTCTCAAAGTTATTATTTCTGGGGCGCCTGGGTGGCTCAGTTGTTAAGTGTCTGCCTTTGGCTCAGGTCGGAATCGAGCCCCGCATCAGGCTCCCTGCTCCGCAGGAAGCCTGCTTCTCCCTCTCCTCCTGCTTGTGTTCCCTCTCTGGCTGTGTCTCTCTGTCAGATAAATAAGTAAAATCTTAAAAAATAAATAAATAAAAGTTATTTCTGCTCTTAGTCATGGGCATGCCTTCTTGTGTTTGACTATCTTTAGTGTTTTACTTATTAGTTAATAATTGAAAGCAGTCCTGTAGACCTAAATTGGGGATTGGGAAGCCTTCCTTCAGAGATTGTCTTCTGCTTCTGCTGGTAGCCAGAGTAGACCCCCAATTTGAGACCAGTTGGGCATCTTCTGTGGGTCTCTAATCAGAATAGACATACCAGACTTCCCTCTCTCACCCCACTACTGGGATCAGGTTTAATTTCTCTGGTAAGTGTACTGCTGAGGGATCTGTCCTTAGGCAACCCCACTGCTCAGAGCTGCATCATGTTCAACCTCCTCCTTCTCTACCCAGCTCCTAATTTTTCTAATTCCAGGTTTTCTTGTTTTTGTTTGGTTTTTCACTTTTAGAGAGGGAATAAGAGGGGATATTCAGGCTTGGTGACCCATCCTACCTCTTGTGAGACCACTTGTGTCTCCAAGAAAACCTTTCCAGGTTTTATTTTTAGTTTAGAGGAATGGAGTCCTGCAAGCATCTCATTAGACATAATACAAAAAGTCAAGGTGGGTAAACATTTTTAGACTGTTTATCTCTGTACCACAAATATAAAAAACTAAAATAATACTGAACTGAGAATAAATTAAGAAAACTCATTTTATGAAGGGTTAGTAGACAAGTATGTAATGATGTCAACTATCCAAAATATCGTGATTTCTGAAAACACCTCCCAAGCCTTTGCTTATATTATTTTGAAAGACTTCAGTGATTGCTACACATAGAGTCACCTGAATGTTTTTCATGGTTTTCTTTTATATTTTGTCTAGGCTGCTACCGAAGAAGAGAACAGCCATGGTCAAGTAAACGGTATTCTGAATGCTCCAAGCCTTGGTTCACCAGTTCGTGTCCGCTCAGAGATTACTCAGCCAGACAGAGATGTTCCATTGGTGCGGAAGTTACGTTCCATCCACAGCTTTGAGCTGGAAAAACGTCTTACACTGGAGCCAAAGCCAGATACCGACAGGTTTCTTGAGACCTGGTATAAAATACTTTTCCTTTTTCTTTAAAGCTACTAAGATACTGTAATTACCATCATCATCATCATCATTATGAATTTCTATTAGATAGTCTTTCAAATAAGAAATTTTTGCATTTTTGTATTACTGATTTGATTAAATTCTCATCTCCATCCATGTTTTTAATTATCATTGTGATTCTTAATGTGAATTGTCTTATAAAATTGTTACAAGTTCTGTAACAAAACCTTTGGCTTTGGGAGCTAAGCAGTGGGAGCTGGTAACTTTATGACACCAGGTATAAGTTAAATGAACATTTTGAACTCACTTTGTAAGGGATCTCTTTTATTGGAATGAGAAGATGCAGTGTAGAGTTGGAGAGTGCATGATGAAGAAGGTATGAGAGAGGAAGGAGGGGAGTATGTGAAGGAGGTAAACAAGTAATTTATACACAAGGGACAGGCAATTCGGTTCACTTTAATGAAGGCCTTTTATGAGTTAGTACTGTAGGGAAAATAGACACAAATAAGTTTATCATTTCTTCCTAGAAAGAAGGAAAGGTGGAACTTCAGAGAGCTATACATAGGTAATAACTATAATTCATGTTTATAAGTCCCATTATTCCCAAATTTTGATAACAGAAGACAGAAATGAAACTTTAGAAAGAATTTGGGATATAGTTATGAATTATAGAAGGCTGCAGTAATATGAAGAGCTGAGTGACTAGTGATAGTCACACACCCTTCAATGTACATCCTGGTGGCTGCTATTGGCAATGAAATGTTAGGTTAGAAGGACCATGTATTTGACTGACATGGTAGTTACTGTGTCCAAGATAATTCAGCCTAATCTAATCTAGCTTCCATTTTTGACAGTCCTTCATATATGTGTATTCTTCCTTCCATGTAATCATTCAGCCTCACAGCTACGTGATAGAAACTTGAATCTATACATTAATATGATCAAAAGAATGGATTCGAGTTGGGGCAGTGCTTAAACATTTCGAGCTGTGGCTAAGATTAGGAATTTAGGATTTATATAGTTATTTAAATGCAATAAGGAAAAAGCTTAGTTTGGTAAAGAATTAGTTTAATAAAAGAATGGAACTAAAAAGAGAGTCCCTCCTGTGGGAAGAGCTAAGAAAAAAGACAGAGTTGAGAAAACAGAAGTTATCTAAGAAAATGAACTCAGGCCAGAACCTAGAATGAGTAGGAAACCGTTGAAGGAATTGAAGCACCTAATTACAAACTTGGAAAGAAAAAAACATATCGCTTCAAGTGCTTCCCTGACGATGAGGTCAGTTCGTAGAAGTAAGTGCAGCCAAATGGTCACACCACTGCCTGCCCCTCGGCTAGCAGACAGATTCATATACCGTGTCAACTGCCTTTTAATCCACTCCAACTGACAATACATCTTGAAGCTTCCTGCACGCCACTGTGCCCACTGCCCCACTGCTGTGTGCCCCACTGTACATAGGGGGCTGGGCGTGCTGGAGCAGGTGTAGTAGCTTTTCTTAAAATTTCTGCCTTTGGAGTTTACTTGAATGAGTCTGCATTTACATACATCTCTGAAGACAAAACACATGAAGTATTTGCCTAGCTTCTTCATTTCCTTTTATAGGGCTTCTGGTGAAGCAAAATCCCCTTGGCTCAATTCTGCCTCAGTCCCTCAGAGAGAGCAGAGAGCAGTGTGATTGAATTGGCAAAGAAAAGGAGAAAGAGATCCCATCAGGCAACCTGATTAGGCTTGTCCCCTGCCCGACAGCAGGAGAGCCATCTTCCTCCCAGGGGTCCCATCTTCCAAAACCAGGTTATAACAGGTGGAGAAGAACATTATCAGCCTGTGAAACTTTCCTTATGCTTTATTTATATATTCTCTCATCTGTGTGTGAATATTAGGTCTGTATAGAGCTTATAATTTATGTAATAAATATTTTCCTAGGGCAAATGAGTAACTTCTGTCTGTTTTTTTAAGCCTGGAGAAAATGCAGAAAGAGTCCAGTGCAGGAAAGGAATCTCTTCTCCCTGCTCTGCTTCATAAGCCTTGTGTTCCTGCCGTGTCCCGTACTGACCACATCTGGCACTATGATGAAGAATATCTTCCAGATGCTTCGAAGCCTGCCTCTGCCAACACCCCTGAACAGGCAGATGGTGGTGCCAGCAATGGATTTATAGCAGTTAACTTGAGCTCCTGCAAGCAGGAGGTTGATTCCAAAGAATGGGTGATTGTGGACAAGGAGCAGGACCTTCGGGATTTTAGGACAAATGAGGCTTTAGGCCATAAAACAACTGGAAGCCCTTCTGATGAGGAACCTGAAGTACTTCAAGTCCTAGAGGAATCGCCTCAAGATGAGAAGCTCCTACTGGGTCCTTGGGCAGAAAGCGATCATTTAAAGAAAGAACCCTCAGGTGTGGTCTTAGCACTTTCTGGGGAGTGCCCTGCCGCTGCTGCTTCGGAACAGTATACGGATAGGCTAGAACTCCAGGCTGCTGGCCCGTTTATTGCAGTGACACCCACAAGTCCGATGGAGGCGCAAGCAGAAGGACCCCTCACAGCGGTAAGAGATTTGTTCCAGTTATTTTTCTGTTACCTGCTCAATGTGCTGTTAAAAAAGAATGAACAGTTGATCAACTAAGATTGTTCAGCAGATGCCTAAGTTTGGCAGATGGGGATAGGGAGTGATGTCTGGACTAAGTTCTAGAGTCAGTCATCCAGTGTGAAATTTCTCAAAACAAGCGAGCTTTCCTGTCAGGACAGCAACTCAACACATGAAGTGTCATTATAACCTAATTTCAGAATAACATCTGTAATTAGACCACAAGAGCTATCTATCTAGGCATTTAGCTATGACTTTAAGAATTTGTAATTCTAGAGATTTTGAATCTCTATGGTATAAATCTGGTGAGGAAAGCATATGTGGTTTATACTTTATAGGGTACACTTGGCTAGGCTTGATTCTCTTTGTTGCCTTTTTTTGTAATCTCCACACAGAAATTTGTCATATTTTACATTACTCTTAAACATAGTTTTCCAGCTTTGATGTCTGTTGTTTAAAATACAGAGTTCCGGCCTCTCTTCCAGAACTTCTACTTCAAGAGGTCTGGGATAGAGTGAGCCCAGGAGTCTGCATTTTAACAAGTAGCTGAAAGCAATTGTGATAAAGGTCTTCTGTAAAGGAACATCTTGAAGAAACCGTCCTCTTTACTCTCAGTTTGGGCATTAAGCTGGAGACGCCTGTTAGCCTGTTACTGTCAGTGATCAGTGATCCCCCTACGACTGTGAGCAGCAGGATCCCCGGAAAAGCCAAACATGGAGGCAGTAAGGAACTGTGTACACAGATTTTGGGCACCAGCCAAAAAGGTACATCTGTCCTTACATGGGTGCAAGTACCAGATTTCCTTAAATTCCCTAATGATCTAGCAGCCATCTCTTCCAGCTCACCAGAAACAACATTGTTCCCCAAGCTGAAATGTTTTTTATTAGAACACAATTCCAAATGCAGGTGTGAAACGGTCAGAAAAGATGACAAAATTTGGTTTTGTGTATAGCTCTGTAGGAATTCATCTGCACTTCAACATGGTAAAATAAATGCCTGCCTCATTCTTCATCAGAGTTAGTCTTTCCTTCGTTTGCAGGACTGCTTTGTACAGTTATACAGGTTGTTCACTGAATAAAGTGGCCTAGCCAAGGGAGCAAGTAGGGGCTGAAATCTTTTGAATCTTCCTCTCCAGTCTCTGCAAAAGAAAAGCTCCTCCAAAAGAAAGCTTATCAGCTGGACCTCTAGTCCAAACGTTGCTAACCAAACTGTGCGTCTTCGTGTGGGTCTGTTTCCTCATTGAGGAGCATCCTTTTTCAAATTGTACACGGTAACCTATGGACTAGAGGCAAATCAAGCCACCTCCCTCCCTTCCCCTTATCCCTTTTTCCTCCCGCCTTTCCTCTTCCCTATTTCATTCCCTCTTTCCCTCTTCCCACATTCAGTTTCTTCTCTTCTGCAGTTCTGTCCTGCTGCGCACTCACTGCCACTCAAGCATTTTGCTCACCGCATCCTGGCATGCTTCCCTTCAAAGACGCTTCTACGGCCCTGGCTCCACTTCTCCTAGTATTTTTTGCCTTCTCCCATCAGCAGTATTTTGTCCACAAAGACTTTTCTCATGGTTCTCTTACACTGTCTGCAGCATTTTCTCTGTCAAGTTATTGAAAGACTTGTATTCATATATTTGATATTATGAGTTTGATCTTATTTTCAGATATCTTTAAATAAAAGCATTTTTCTTAACTGAAGAAGGTCTCTAAAGAAATAACAGCTACATCACTTGTATACTTAGGTCTAAGGTAATAAACCTACCATTGCCTTCACTTGGGCGGGAATTAGATTAAAAATATATTTATCTTGATTCTCTTCTTGAGGCTTAAATTCAGAGTTTACTTTTGCAAAGCAGACGTTATTATTTCCCTAATTTACTACAGACACATTAAATAGGGAGTACTGCCAATTAGCTTCTCCGTATCTCTTGCAACTCTGAATATAATGTTCTAGCTTGGATGATATCCTAAACCATATTACTGGGCTATCTGAATATTTTAAATTAAGACATATTCTGATGGGAAACACTTTGTTAGTTTGTATCTTTTTCACTCAGGATTGTTTCTCTTTTATGAAGGGAAAGTATACTGATGTCTTAAAATATGTAAGAACTATAAAAATGGGCAAAGCAAAAGTTTATCTATATTACAGGCATAGTTGGCATAATAAACTAACCAGTGAGAACTTTAGCACCCCCTAGTTCTCTTTATTTCTTAGTGCAGATTTATGAGCCTTCATCCAGACTTCCCTTATCCCTACACATGAAACCGCTGATTTTCAAATAGCATGTGTAAACTTTTTAGATAATATATTTTGAAAGATGGATAAATTTGCTAGATTTGAAAGAAATTGGTTTGGGGCTGTGTTGGAAATTAAATTTTTTTCCTTGGGTAAACAGTATTGAAATTTGCCCACTGTCGGTCATTTCTAAAAAGATGCTATACAACATGGATTTACAGGGAGTAAATAAGACCAACTTTTGGCTTACAGGAGAAATATTAGATTATGTTTTGATTAGAAAATGAAGAGACAAAATTAAGCTAGCATAAACGAACAAGGGTAGAGATGAAAAAGAAAAGAAAATGAACTGCTTCCAAAAGAGGTCTAACTACTAGTCCAGAATGACAGGAACTGTAGGGAAGAATGTGACCAGTTTTATGTGACATTGGGTAATCACTGTTGGTAGGGAGAAGGTTGGATTTGAAAAGTAATGTAGAAGTGGAAGTGCTTCATTTTAATATTACCTTTGGAAGCAGTATAAATGTGACTGGGGAATAATAATACCACCAATATGTTACCTGTTGCTGGGTAACAAATTACCCCAAATTTAGCAGCTTTAAACAACACAGTTATTTCACCCTGTTTCTGAGGGTTAAGAGCGCAGGAGTGGCTCACTCTAATGGTTCTGGCTCAGGGTCTCTCATGAGGTTGCTGTCAAGCTGTCAGCTAGGGCTGAAATCATTGTAAGGGATGGGAAATCAACCGGGATGGGAAGGTCCACTTCCAGGCACACTCAGTGGCTGTTGGCAGGCCTCAGTTCCTCAGTAGCTATTGGCCAGAGGCTTCGGTTCCTCACCACGTGGGCCTCTCCATTCTTGACGTGGCAGCTGGCTTTCCCACAGTGTGAGGAGAGAAAGAGACAGAGATGGGGGAGGGGTGTGGTGGTAGCGTGAAGAAGCCTCCACCATGATGGAAGCCATAGTTTGTTTTATAACCTAATCTCAAAAGGGACATACCATCACTTCTGTTGCCTTCTGTTGGTCATGCGGACCACGTCTGCTACGATGTGGGACGGACTATACAAGGGTATGAATACCAGGAAGTAGAGGTCATTGGGGGCCATTTAGAGACTGGCTACCATATTATCTTACATTTATATTTCATAGAATACTTTGATATTTGATCCCAACAACAAGTCTGTGGAGCAAGCAGAGGGAATATTGTCCTTTTTTTTTTTTTTATTCTTATGTTAATTCCCATACATTACATCATTAGTTCTAGATAAAGTGTTCCATGATTCATTGTTCATGCACAACACCCA